AGTGCCGTAGGTGTTTTGGCCGGAAAATGGGGAGCTCGGTTAGGGCTTCGAAGAAACTGGCGGCGACTGAAAAATTGTGAGCTTGGAGATGATGACCGGTGGTTGTTACGTGGTTTGAATTTGGGGCTGAAATGAACTAAGCTTCTTGGGCCGAGAAATAAATGAAGATTGATTTAAAAAGAGAATTGGGCCGGGCTCTTTAAAACACTTGGGCAAACAAATTAAAAGCACACACAAGCCTACTAAGGAAAAGAACAAGTAGCAATCTACATCTATATTTATATCTATATTTATATCTATATCTTTAGTAATATAAAGAGGTTGTTGAAAAAATACAAAAATAGTATGTTTGACTAAAAAAATAATACTTTGACTTACTAATTTAAGTAATAATTACTACTTTAAGTAATCACCATAAAGGTCCCACACGTTAAATTAATTAACATAAAATTAAGTAAAAACATAAATCACGTAATCAATCTTTCCATCCATCCTTCAATTTCGAATTTTGTTACAATTTTTTCGAATTTTGTGGGATTTATTCTTTCACATATTTCATAATTAATACAAATATCCAATAATAATTGAATCACAAAAATATTGGAATCCATCCTTGCATTTATAATATTGTTAAAAAAAAGGGTTCACGGATTTTTTGGGATTTTATTTTTTTCATACCTTTCATAATTGTTACAAAATTCGTTAACAAATTGAAACGAATTTGTAGGAATTATTTTGTTCACAAATCACTACATAAATTTACACCACTTAAAAAAATAATTCCTTACCCAAATTATTGGAATCCATCCTTGCATTTCAAATATTGTTAAAAAAAATGTTAACATATTTTGCGGATATTTTTTTTTTACACATTTCATAATTGATACAAAAATCCTTACCAAATTGATACAATTTGTAGGAATTATTTTGTTCACAAATCTCTACATAAATTGACCCCACACGTAAAAAAAATAATTCCTTACAAAAAAGATTGTCTATTAATGCATTCCCAATTTTAATGGGAATCTATTCAATATATCACACGTGTTTCATGCTAAATGGAAGTAATCAATATCTCATCCAAATTAATTCTGATTTTGTTTTAACTAATTACAGCAAAATTTGTGCGACTTTAACTAATGTGCGACTTTAACTAAATTGAAGTAATCAATCTCTCATCCAAAAATATTTGATTTTGTTAACTAAAATGCTACAATATCTGTACACGACTTTGCACATTTATAAAAAAAGATCCGATCGAAATTTACGGGATATTCATAATCACGTAATTCGAATATTATCCCTTAAAAGGATTAGTACAATCCATAAACCCGTAAATATCTTTAAATCCCCAAATCTTCGTATAAATAAGAATCAAACCTATATAAATATTAACATTAACAGTCTTGAACAAAGTCGTACACTCGAACTCATAGAACAACGTGATATTATTCATATCACTATAAATATCCTATCTTTCTAATCGTATTACATTCACACTCATACTCTCGGTTCCTTCTACATAAAATAAAAAATAAAAGAACGCACTATTTCTAATGTTACTTTGAACGAATCACAAATAACTGGGCAACACATACAAATCGTATTTTGTAATTAGCATATCTTTTTTTTTAATATTATTCAATATCTAGTGCCGACATCTTTTTTCTTTGGAAGACGTGCTGACTGAAATATAGACTGACTCACAACATCAGAAAATGAATTGGAGGGAAAACCAATAGCGACGACGTCGTTCACAACATCATCAGAAAACGAACGCTGTAAGTTTTTTTTTTCTCTACTTCGGTGTAAACATGAACTTATTTTTTATTACATTATACTTACTATTTCATGTTTAATAGCAACAAACACAAGGATGAGTGGACATCTAGCCTACGGAATGGAAGGGAAAACAGCAGATAGAGAAGAGGGAATACAACAGCAGCTAGAGAACCTCATAACACACTTCATGGAATTCAGATCAAAGGAAGCATATTTGATGACAAATCTCAAATAAGTACTTTTAATTTTATTTTTATTTTTATTTTTTACCTTTATTGTTAACACTGAATTCTATATTTTATACATGAAAATAATATGAAAAATTTATTTTTTCAATGAAATCTATCTACTTTATATTTACCTTTGTTTACCTTTGAGTTTGTTGTGAATATGTAAACTTATATGATTGTCATTTCTTCTCATCATCCTATTCCATGAAATAAAGAAAAATATTTAAGTTATAAAAATACTTTATTAATATCCAAAGAGGAATAATAATACAGTTCTGTTATAAAAACTATATTTAAAAAATATTACTATATGAACAAGGTTACCTGTTATTGGTGTTATTTTCATTCACTTTGACTGTCAGATTATTCACCTTTAACAATGATATATAGATAATCATATGATAAATTTTTAAAGAAAACAATATGTTTATTTCAATTACCTTATTTTTTGCTCCAGTTCCTGAATTATTACTGAAGTATAGCAAAATGTCGACGCCCGAGGAATCCATTTTTTATTTGTTAGTCATCTGTTTAAGAACAAACAACAATACGGCAATATAGATCTGAGTTAGTATTTGAGTTAGTATTTGATATGGTATCAATGTTCCAAAAACATAACATAATTTTGATGTACACATTAGTTTCAATCAGAGCAATAACAACAAATCGATATAGAACTTTAATCGTTTGTAATAGTAATTTTCATGTTACATTTTCTTAGAACTTTCTGATTTTGAAAGATATTCGAATGAATAAACAAGATTCTTATGTGTTTTTGGATCAAAAGTTCGACATTCTATAAAATTAAAAAATTAAAAAACAGGACACACTATAAAAATGTGAAGTACAGTTACTGTTCAAATTGAATTTTAAAAACCGGTCTGAAATTTAATTAAATACCAGATCTAAAACTTTTTATAAATAAAATTATATACTTTAGTAAAATATCGATACTTCATTTCTAGATTTCATTTTTTTCGACACAAAACTTTCAGATTTGAAACAAAATTCAAAAAATTAAACCTGATTCGTCATATATTTTAATAAAATTCGAAGAAAATAATAGCGAACTGAAAAAATCATAAAAATATCCATAAATTGAAGAAAATCCATTAATAGTAGGCTGATCTATAATATTTTTTTATCATTTTTCGAAATCCGACTGTCTATTCAGATTATATGTGAACAACGAGTCAATAGATCTGGATACGGTAAAGGAAACACGACCTTCGATTTTTAAACAATAATCTCGAATATAAAAAATAAAAAAAAATTAAAAAATGAAAGACCTCAGTCGTTCATAAAAATTTTGAATCTGGTGTGTCATACATATTCAGCAGGTCATATTCGACTGGGATTCTTATCAAACTCGACTAACATATACTCAAATCGATGAAAATGAAAATAAAAAAAAAATATTAA